TGGCTACTTGTTCCCATACTGTTCTGCCTGCTCTACCTTGAGCCCTCCCATTAGTTCAAGGTTGCCTTCCCTAAAATCAGGACTGTCCCTATAAAACTGGAATGTAATCTTGGAAATAAGTTTCAGGCACTGATAGTGCCTTCTGTTGACTAAAACCTAGTCATGGTAGCAGGTTATTGGGACTATTTTAATGACATTCCCAATGAAATCCATTGTGTGGGTAAAACAGGAAGGAACATAAAATGCAAGACATCATTTTTTTGGCTACTTGTTCCCATACTGTTCTGCCTGCTCTACCTTGAGCCCTCCCATTAGTTCAAGGTTGCCTTCCCTAAAATCAGGCCTGTCCCTATAAAACTGGAATGTAATCTTGGAAATAAGTTTCAGGCACTGATAGTGCCTTCTGTTGACTAAAACCTAGTCATGGTAGCAGGTTATTGGGACTATTTTAATGACATTCCCAATGAAATCCATTGTGTGGGTAAAACAGGAAGGAAAATAAAATGCAAACGTGAAGCCCCATGGAACCGGGGCTCCTGCCATTCTCCAAATAGGGCGCCTGTACTCATGAGAGCTGGGGAAGACCAGATGGTTTCTGGGGGATTGCAAGAACGGGTGGGGCAATTGGGAGAAAGAATGACACAAGCAGCTTGGAGAACGACACACCGATCACCCTGCATGGAGGATCCCTCCCGTGGAGTAGGAGGAGAGCTGCTGGATGGCCCGGTATACCTGTAATGTAGAAGAGTCCAGCTCTGTGATCTCCCTCCTCATGCCTCGCCTGCAGCTCCCAATACAGCCCCGACACTTCCGCTTCTGAGAGACAGCAGTGGCGGCAATCAGGTGGGTGGGCCGGATAAATGACCCTGGCGGGCCGTATCAGGCCCGTGGGCCATAGTTTGAGAACCCCTGCTCTAGGACATCATTTGAAGGGATTAAAGAGCAAGATTGTTAAAAGGAAAGAATATAAAGAGGGTTTATTTGATCAAGGTTAAAATAGATATGTTGTTATTTCTGATAACCCTTAATGGACTTTTACTGACTGGGACTGAATGACGAAGTTTCAAGGATTTCTTTATAGGTAAGAGAAGAGATATAAAAGTAAAAGGAAAGAATACAAAATGGGCTTATTTGGTTAAGCTTAAAATAGATATGTTGTTATTTCTGGTAACCCTTAATGGACTTTTGCTGATTAGGACTGAATGATGAGGTTTTAAGGATCTGTTTATAGATAAGAGATGAAATATGGGATGAAGAGATTGTTTGTTGTATTTTAAGAGAAGATGATAAGTTGCTAAAAATGTTCATATTTGTTGTGACGAAGGGGAGTTACTTCTTTATATATATTTTTTTCTTTTCCTTTGTTGCTTTTTCTTATTTTTCTTTTTCTTTCTGCATTTCCTATTTTTTCTTTCTATTCTTTTTTTTTAATTTGTATTACTTTTTATCTGTATAACTGTAATCTCCAATAAAATTATTATTAAAAAAAAGTAAAAATTGTCTTAGCCTTCCTGGTGTTGTTGATTCTTGCTCTGGCCTGGCTTAAACGAGAGCTGACACCTTGTTTAAGCCACAAGGGACAAACCTTGAACCTCTTAGAATAATTATAGTTCTACAAGCTTGTGTTGAAACCAGCTCTTTTTTCAGTGATGGCTGTTACACTCTGTTCTGGTTGCTATTGCTGACAAATTAAGATAAAGCATTTGTCATCTTGAGATCAACTCCTGGGGACTCCATCGATGTCTCCATGTATTTTCCTTTGGCAGCAATATGGAAATGATTTGCAACTCTCTTCCGTTGGGATATATTTTCATTTTCCAGTCTAACCTAACTGGGATATCTCAACAGTATCCTGCACTAAATATTAACCAGGTACAAACAGGGGCATCCTCTGCAAGTTGAGATTTTGTCCAAACAATGAAATGTGTGTCATGACTTCACAGCTTCATGCCTTGACTGTAATGCCCCAATTTAAATACAAAAAGAGCACAGTTTGCACCATGAACTCACAATGCATGTTTCATCATTTACTTCCTCCCTCCCTCCAAGATTCCTATGCAACCATGCTTAGCTTTTTGAGGTTCTGGCTGAAGTTCTGATTTTTATTGATGGAGCTAATTCTACATCATTAACCTAGCAATATGAATTGATCTTTCCCACAGCCTATTCTGCTTCATCATTTTCTAGGTTCCCCCTTCCCTGTACTTTCTTTCCTCTTGAATACTGAATCATAGAGGCACAGATGTAAGGTGAATTTAATTACCTTAAATCTGGAATTGGAGCATGCATAATTCCCACTTCCCACTGCAGTTTCCACCACCAAATCCCAACCATATATTATTGATGCAATTTTTGTTGTTGTAACTATTTATTGCATTATAAAACTCTCTACAGTACTTTGTTTTTCAATATGATTTATGATCCAGCTAATCCCAACGCAGCAGAAATGAGTACACCTTCAGATCAAGGCCTGCTGAATTTAGCATCCTATTTCTGATAAATAACAGGTGGTTTGTCTATTTTATATGCCATGCTGAAAGTGATACAGTTTCTCCTCTCACCATTAATGTAATGTGCCTATTTAGTATCCATGCTGGATCAAGGTGACCACTCATTGGTGAACCTAATCTAAGGGGTTGTGTGACTCTGTCCAGATCAGACATATATGCTAACTTCTAAACTCTAACCCACAGAATCATCACTATCTCTGTCTTGTTGATATTCAGCTTGGTCTCTCACTTTTACTCCTTCACAGCTGGGAGACCTGCAGAGGTTTTCCAGACATCCAATCCCAAGATTAAAGAAACAGAAGAATTCAGTTGAGTGCAACCATTACTGGTAACAATAAGTTTTGAAGCCACACATGATCGTTCCCAGAGGTTTGAGAGAAATGTCAAATGGCTTGCGAAATAAGTTGGAATCTTGCAGGATCCCAGCAGGTCAATCCCCAAGGAACTGAACAAAATTCTCACAATGCCACCTTTGATAGTGCCTGGAGAATAACAATAAATTCCCACCAAAGTAGTTCTTCCTTCTCCCATTTCCCTACTCCCAAAAACCAGTGATGTAGTTGAAATAAATGAGAGCAACTGTCCCCAAGTTACTCAGGATGTTTCTCTGGCTTAGCAGGGACTTGGACCTGGTGTCACTCCAACACCTTCACCACCACATCACATGGTTCTTCATGTTGTGGGAATCCAGATGGTTGCATAACTTGAGCCAACATTTTATTGATTTATTTGTTGGGTACCATATATTCTATGAACATGGCAAATGTGTTTTGTTTAGCTAGATTTAGGGATTAACTAGTCTGTGTAGTAACTGCTTTGATTGCTATAGAGAAATATGGCTTTTTGAAATCAGAATGACATTCTCCAATCTGAGAGGGCAGGATCACCTGAAGCACCATTGAAAATTGGTGGCAAAGTACCTGCCTTTTTGAGGTGGGAAGCCCATGAATACTGGAGTGTCAGCCCTAAAATGGGCTTAGATGGGTTTTTAAAACCAAGAGAAACTTCCCAGTTTGTCTCCCCAAACCTAGAGGACCACCACAAATCTTACCACCTTTCCAAGTCCAAGACATAATTCTGCCCACATTGTATCACCCCAATACAAAAAATGATTAAGATACCATAAATTGCCCACTCTTGCTCCAAGTCATAGATAAGTAGTTAAGGAGATAGTTAGGGGGGGTGTTCACACTATTGTTATTGTTTTAGTTGTTTAGATTTAGATATATATCCCACCTTTATTTTGTACAATTCAAGACAGCATACATAATGTTATTATCTACCTCAGTGTTTCTCAACCTTGGCCACTTTAAGATGTGTGGACTTCAACTTGCAGGATTCCCCAGCCAGCATGTCCACACGTCTTGAAGTGCCCAAGATTGAGACACACTGATGTACATAATAGATAACCTGTTTCATCTGGGTCATGGATTAATCCATGTTGGATATTTGCACACAACACTAAATCCCCAGCTGACCAAATGCCTTGGGTTCACACAACACAAAAAACCTAATCAAGGTTAACACTAACCAAGCTTAGGTCATTGTGTGAATGCAGCTGCTAGATCCTTGCCTGACCTGATTTAGCTGGTGCCAGATCTGATAGCTAGGAGAAAATTCAAATGCTACAATATCTTGGAGGAACACAAGTTGAAATACATTGAGATTAAGCTGTCACAAAGAGCCACCACAGCAGGAATTAGAAATTAGAAAGCCAGCAGAATCAACTCGGCCCATGCACTTGATCCACTCTCAGCATTGCTCTCTCATTCATAACCAGCACCTAGTCAATTGAGGGAACACCTACAAGATGATGCTACATGGAGGAAGTCACTAACTTGTGTCTGAGAAAATTTGAGAGATCTATTTCTGGACCCTAATTCATAGGTATTTTTTAAATAAACTGTATGGGAAACTCAGTTAGAAACAATCAGGCACCTGGAATTTTCAGCTGTAATTAGGAGCTAACAAGATAAGTGAAAGTGTTAACCACAAGAATGCAGGCCAGCTGCAAATGATTAACCATTAAGGCTGGAAACTCCGAGGTTTTCAGAGAGCAGACAGGCTGAAATAACAATTTAGTTACTGAATCTTAGGCCTTTGTTGAAACAATGGAATCCATTGGGTGGGGAAGAAAAACTTTGTTCATACCACCCCTCATTATATATTCCAATATGCATATGGAGTAACATCATCAGTAAAGGTAACTATCAGTCTCATTGACTGCTACATCCTATCACATAACAAATGAGCATCTGTGATTGTAATGTAATTAATTAAATAAAAGAATAATTTGCTTCATAAATTTATAAAGAGGGCTTGTAAACCCACCCATCTTTAGACTTCTGTTTCCTTGCCTCTAGGAATGGTCCTGTCAATAAACCAATTTGTGCTTCGGTGTAATTGAATCCTGGCCTCTGGTTCAGACATACCCCTTGGGAAAAATTCTCCTTCACTTGGATGCCTTTAAAAGGGAATTGGAGAAATTCATGGAATATGTTAAGATGTGTCAAGGGTTATGGGTCTCAAGACTCCATGTTACCTCTGGGTTGGGGGTAGCATAGCCCAAATCCCCCATGCAGAGGAACAGTGTCAGGATAGGGGCAGGTCTCCCACTTGTGAACATCCCTGAAGCTTCTGGCTGGTGCCTGGGAGAAACCAGCCCAGTCTTGGGCCTTGCCCTGATCCAGCAGGCTGCTTTTATGTGGTTGCTGTCATTGTTATCATCACTGTTCTTCCCACTGATACACTGGCATGTGCTGGATTTATATCCTGCCTTTTCTCCAAGGAGTTCAAGGTGACATAAATATTATTCACCTTTGTTATTATTCTCACAACAGCTCTATGGGGTAAGTTGGGCTGAGATCGAGTGACTAGTTCAAAGGCATCCTGTGAGCTTCCACATTTCTGTGGCCAAAGGTGGACTAGAATCTGGGTCTCACAGCTTCTGGTCCAGAATTCTGTCAACTACTCCACACTAGCTCAGAGTTGGGACCCCTCTTTGGTAGCCCACACATTTAAAAAACAACGTCCATTGTAATCCACAAGGGGCAAAAAAACCCTGCTGTTTGATTCAAAGCAAAGTGAAGTTACAGTGGAACCTCAGGTTACGAACTTAATCCGTTCCATGACTCTGGTTGCAACCCGAATTGGTCGCAACCCAAAGGAAATTACTTTCTTTGGAGCCATGCTGACAAG